TAAATGCCAAAATAATTATTTTGAAGGGTTATCACAGACCACTTGGACTCTAGCAAACATACTGGTATAGTTAGTTATTAATGTCTTTCAGAGCTTCACTGGTTTTCCAGTTTTCTGATCCCATTCAGTTATATTATTTTGAATAGTTTAAAATAGGAATAGTGTTATTAGTAATCCAGGAATGATGAACTCCATTCATTCATTCATTTATTCAAGTACCTTCTGGGTACCAAGTACTGTTACCAATGGTATTTAACTAATTATTAATAGAAAAGGTAAGCAAAGGTTCTTAGACATCGAGCTTAATAAACGGTGGGGGGGGGGGGGCGCGGGGCATGAGCCTGTTTGCTTCACTGGGAAGCTACAGCTTTTCACATTCTATGGCTCATCATTGTGCTTTGCCAAGGGGATTAACACTCCGCCCTTCCCCCCACCTCCAGCACCAGGTTGTTGGGGGCACAGGGGAGGGTGCTGGACCGTAAAGGCCTGTTGGTCTAACTAGGGGGTGTAAACCGATCAGAAGTCCGCGAAAGCTTGGGAAGTTGATTGGTTCTTTTGAAAAGACACCTGGTCCATCCCAAGCCCAAACTAATGTAACCCCAGGGAAACAAAGCAGCTCGTGTTCTCTGTCTTCCTCTCTCTCGCCCAGGTGACCTGCACTTGCCCCATGCACTCACGTGTCCTCTCTCGATAGCCATTTGGCCTTAGCAGCTGCATGGCCAGTGGCCACGTGGACTCCACTACCGGAGCAGGAAAACAAACTAAGCAACCTGGATGGGGACTGAGGCCACTTAGCAGCTGCCTGCAGGCTCCAGAGGACTAAGCTTTAATGTGAAGCCAAAACTCTGGCCACTGGCTTTTGTCTTGGCCTTGCTGAGGACAAGGTTGGACTTTTTCCATGGACGGACAGAGGGAGATGGGACATTGGAAACTCAGGGGGCTCACCCCTCCCAGGACAGGGTCCCTTTTTATAGAAAGTTAATATAAAGCCACATGGTGGGTAGTCACTTCGACTACCAGAGAGAAGAATTCATTCCTAAGTTAGCAGTAATATCAGGCAGTTATCACACTCTATACATTCATGAACTTTCTTCCTGGGGCATGACATTTATCTTTGGGCGGCATTCTGCTTTTTCTGTGTAGTGAGCCAAGCCTGAGGCTACAGCGTTAAACAGAGTCCAACTTTTCCCAGATGCCTTTGCTGAGGGAGCCATATTGCATCTAAAGCGAGTTCCCCTACACTGACGAAAGACCACTACATCCTCACCCTCCCGTGGATGCTGAAAGACACCATGGCCTACAGAGAGTCCACTTCCAGTGGCTGAAGAATGGAAGACGCCACTGGATCTCACACTCCATTTCTTTGGAGATTCCCTCTCCTAAATCAAGAAAAAGGACGTAGATGTTGAGAAACTGGCTAAAGGAGAAATCGCTGCTCTGCAATGATACCAGGCGCATCGTTAGTGTTTGCAGATTAAATTGAGCATTACAAAGCAAAATGGAAGTGAATGTTTAAATTTCTTGGTGGTACACCTCCTCCGACTGAAGTTTACAATCCCAGCTACCAAAGGTAAAGAGAAGGGTGACAGGTTGTGTGCTTTTCCTTCCAAACAAGAAAAGGCCTGAGAAGTGACTGCTCGTGGCAGGTTGTCAGGACCCCTATGGACATCGCTGTCCTGTTAACATGAGGATGGCCCGCTGAACGTTAACTATTTGTCTTATTGACTGTATCGCCTACTGATGGGTATCTCCTGGCCCTTTCTGATACGTTTCTTTACTGTGGAGGTGACAGTATCTCTCACTTCCGTAGAGGAAGAGTCATCAGAAGGCCAGGCAAACCCCACCTCCTCTGACTAGAAATAACCTTCTATGTCTGTCAGTGACCTCATTACTCATCTCTTCGCAAAACTCAGTGGGTCAAAATCATCAGTTCACTTCGCAATTTTCATGTACAACAGATGTGGTTAAAAAGGTATTCTGTGAATAACCCAAGAAGGGAGCTCTTCCTCAATGGAAGAGGGAATGACTTAATGTTTTTAATTTTCTCGTGTTTTTCTCTGAGATTTTCCCCCAAACGCTGAGCCTTCTGCTGTGAGTGAGCACTGACAGCTCTCGGGTACAGGAAAGGAGCAAACAAGTGTTACTGGAAAGCCCAGGCGGCGGCAGCGCCAAACAGCTTGCTTCCCCGCCCCCCCCCCTCCCCGAATTGTATGTCCTTGTGATTATAATTTTCGACTGCATGAATTTTCCCCAGGAAGACTTCTTAGTTTGCAAGATGGGATTCAATCTAGCAATCACTCTTGGTGTTCTAGAGAGAACCATGACTTTCAAGTGTTCTGAGAGCCAGCCAATGTTGGGGGACCCGAAGCTGTAGGTCCTAGGGGACAATGGTAGAGGGCTTCACAGGCTGAGGTGTGGAGACAGCCCAGGAATCAGCTGAGGGGGGAGGAGCGGGCTTCAGGATGCCGACATGGGCAGCATGCTGCCCGCTGGGTGACCCTCGGCTGCGGGCAGGTGTGAGCTGGGCCCCAGATGAGAGAAACGTCCACGTCTGGTTTTACAAGCTGTGAAGGTGGACACTAAGGTATCCTTACCTCTGCAGTCAGTGCCTTTTCTTCCATCGTCAAAAAAGTAGAAAAAATAATAGCAAGAAGGGGCCAAAAAAATGTCTTTTAAAAGTTTTACCTATAAAAGCCTTGCTATTTTGCCTCTTTCCAGTAAATATTAAAGAACTTACCCAGACTTTTGCATCGGGGTAAATCATTCATACATGAAATTCTCCACTTCGCACCTGAGAGAAGAGGTGCGCCAACTTCTGCACACATGTTCATAGACTATTACAGCTGTAGGAAGAGTCACATGTCATTATAATCATATACCCTATGAATACATAATCTTTCCTGTAGAGGGAGAAAATGCAGCGTCCCGAATATGGCACTTCCTGTACCACTTAACTGTGAGGTAGAATTAGAACACCATCTTGTGGACAAAAAATATATAACATGCTGGAATGAACACAGTGAACGGACCCTATTTCATTCTTGGGAGTTTGCGTTTTTAGTAATATGTTTCTTATGATCACATAAAACACTTTGAGAGTACTATTCCATATTTTATATATGCATATAATAAAAATTATGTACTAAAAGGAGTCTTATGTATTCAGTTTGTAGACATCAATCTTACATTTTTGGCTAAGCAACTTTTCTTGGTGCCATTATGAGTATTTTGGGCTTAGGCAACTGGAGCTGAAAGAGGAAAGGGTGTCAGAATTTCAAAGTAAATGACTGGAATGTCTTTCTCTGATGCCAAGGTCAAGTATAAGTACTTTTACACCCCACCAACTTCCTACAGTCAGAACAGCCATCTTTTTATCACATGGATTAGACATCAATCAAAAATCTAGTCCTCCAAATAGTCACTGAATGTTCTTGGCTACACACCCTTTTATATCCTTGTAACCCGCACATCCCTTTTGCCCACCCATAAAACTTACGCAGGCAAGACTTATTCTCTTAGAACAGATTAGTTGTCCAGGTTGGTTCCAAGTTTCAAGCTATTTCACACAGAACTGCAAAAGTATGCCAATTTTTTTTCTACATTCCAACCCATCATGTGTTCATGGGTGCTTTTAAAAAGTACAACTTAATTCAGGTTCAAAGAACACTTAGAAATATCACATTCTCCATAAGGAATTTGGATTTACTTGCAAAATAGCTTTTCTGAACTACAGCTAGCTTCGTCCCATATGAAAGTCAAAGGCATTCCAGGTTTAGAAGCTTGAGAATCTAACTGAAGGGGAAGATTCTTGCCTTCCAACCTTGGAGGGGAAGGCCTTGCAAACTGCCATGAACAGAAATTTGGGATTGCATTATCAGCACTACTTAGAGGGGGAGGGAGGATTATTGAGTTTGCAATTAATTTCTTTGAAAACCTCTGAAAAAATGTTCACCTAAAATAAAATTTGAATAGTCTATCTAGAACCTGACATTTTGCATATGCTGGATGAGTGAGTGGTTGCAGAACATTTATCATCTTTTGATAATTTGTCATCTTCCCAGAAACTTTCCGTAACCCCCCTCTTGTGGCAATGAGCTGCTTATCAATTCATGTTTACTTTTTGTGGATACCACACACATACGTGTGGCGTCTTACTACTGGGTTTGATCTTCTGCCAGTGTTCAATTATTAACTCTCAAAAGAAAGGTGAAATAATTTATACAATCTACCAATTCAACCAACTACGAAATTCCCAACCCTTCCACTCCCAGAAGCATGTGTATTAGCTGCGATATCTATAAACTCTCACAAGCGACTGAAGTTCCACTTTCCTGACCATTCTCAGGAAAGGTTCAAAGGTCCACCTTCCTTTATAGAAAGGTTTCATGGCAAAAGTGCTACCAGTTTATACATTTTACCTTTTCTACTCCCACATGGGAGTCTCAACTCCCAATTCCTACTTTTCTTGTTAACTCCTGGGAGTGACTACTGGTAGACTGAAACATTACTGAACAAAACTGAACAAAACTGAAAAATTATTACTGTTGCCGAAAAGTCAAAATGAAATAAATCAAAGGGAATTTGCAGATGGAATAGTGAATTGAACACAAAGGATTAAAAAACCAGAAGGACACACTTAAGATTTGTCCTCTACTGAATTAAATGTTACAGTAAACACTTAGAACAGTGCTTGATGCAGAGTAGCAATGACAATGGTTATGGAATATTAAATGGATACATACTTCATTTTTTCATTAGTTGGCATCAATACTTTAAGCTGCTTTTGATCTTTGTGTTTCCCTTTAAAAATATAAAATATATATTTTCTTCCATTTATTTTACAGAAACTAAATGATTAGAAAATGAATATACAATTTTAAACCTAGACTCTACAGATCACATAAATACCCAACTGCTATAATACACACCTTACATTTCTAAAAGTTAAATTGTAACATTACTATTTTAGCTAAAATTATATTAGAGGCAAAGTTTATTCACCTGGGTATATCAAACTGCAATTGAACAATTAGAGAATAACTTTTTTATTGGTATTACAGCAAAGTTCACTCACATTAAACATACATTCAAATTATGGTACCTCAAAGCCAGAAGGATATAAAATACACCTAACTGTACAAGTTATATACAATAATAAAATCAAGAACCTAGTAAAAATTTATTGGGAAAACATAAAAAAAAAGATTTAAAAAACTTAAAAAAGAAAACACCATCCCCAATGAATACTTAAAGTTTAATTTCACGAACTCAGTATGAGAAACAAAGCATTTCTTTACCATCTGAGCAATGTCCAGCTCTGAACACCCGCAACACTCGTCTTGCTTACAAATTTCAGGCTCCTCTAGCTTCGGCCGGCTGGCCAGCAGTGAGGGTCTTTTCTGCTCCGAAAGCCTCCCTGGGCTTGGAGTAGTCCCACGGCCGTCTATTCTCCGTGAAGCCGTAGAGCTTCCTAAGAGCCACTCGAGCAGCTTCCTCTTCTGCAACCAGGACGGTCTCCCCAGGACCTTCTGCTATCAACTTCCTGTCACTAGGATAAAAGAACAGTGCAGTCTGGAATTACCTGCTGCGTCAAAGAGCACAGCCCACAAATCAGTTTCGCCTTGTAAATCTTATTTTGGCGCCATTACCCACCAGGTAATGGTACAGTAACAGAAATACTGTACCATTTTTTCTTTCTACCAGCAACAGTATGTATGAACTGCTGACAGAAGAGGTATTTAAGCCTTGCCAACCTGAGAAGCAAAAGAGTATCTTTCCATTTTCTTCGCACTTGAATTAAAACTAAAGATGAAACTTTGCAACGCTACCCATTTTCTCCTCTGTGGTGTCCTCCACTGCTTTTACAGCTATAAAGCTCCACGTCATATAAAGATTGGAAAAATATTTACCTAAATTCATAGTTATCTTAGATATTCACTGTTTACGTTAACACTCTAATCCACCTGGATTCAATTTGGGGCAGGTCAACTGTTCACTAAGAACACTAGACAGTTCTGAACATAAGCTGATTTTTAGATACATGTATGTTTGACAACTAAATCCTTCCTTTTCCAGTTTTTGGCTCAGCTAAAGCTGTTACAAATGTGGATTAGGGTTAAATCAGTAAAACTTGAGTCAAAACTTTTATTTTTTCTACAGAAATATTTAGATTAACATATAAGCCATGAAATTCTATAGTAATAATTGGTTATTAAAAGCTACTATTAGCACAAAGAAGGTGAAGGGATTAAGAAGTACAAATTGGCAGTTACAAAATAGTCACAAAATATAAAGTACAGCATAAGAAATATAGCCAATAATATTGTAATAAGTATGTATGGTGCTAGGCTTGAAATATCAGAAGATCACTCTGTAAATTATATAACTGTCTAACCACTATGCCGTACACATGAAACCAATATAAAATTATACTGGATGTCAACTGTATTGGAAAAGTAAAATTTAAAATATAGAAAAAGAATTCAGGGAGAATAATATGGATATTAGCAATCCATAGGTTACTTACCTTTTCCTAAGAATGACAAGCAGAAAAGGAATCACAGATAATCACGGGAATGAGATTTTAAAAAATCTTTTAATGCAATTAGAGATTATACTAAGGAATTGTGAAAGGTCATGTTTTAAGGTTTCCAAACAATGTTATGAAATTAAGATTAAAATTTTACTGACCAGTATAAGCCAACAAAATACACAGGCAAAGCTGTGGTGCTTCCAGACTGCCTGGTAAGTCTAGATTCAGGAGCTGAAATGTTCCTTTTCTTCAATTCTTCCACCAGTAGCCCCATGGGATTGACTATCTTCCAAATCTCAAAGAGTTCTTTTCCAGTTAGCTGAGTAATTAAGAAGTCCTGCATAATAAAAATACAATTTATACACTTAAATTAGTATAAAGAAAACAAGGACTACAATGCAAAGTACAATTTTGACAGAAGTTAAAAACTTACAGGAAATAAAACAATGTACTATTTACACTCCCATATAGTTTTCTCATATAAATTTTATTGCAATAATCATAGTTGAAGGTAAAATCCTGTCTCATAATTTAGAAATATATTCTTATCAGTAAGAAAAATATTTTAAGAAAGAGTTTAATGAATCAACAGTAATAACTTCTGACAGGAACTTAAAAAGGCACTAAAGGCCTTCCAGATATTACTACTACTTCGTGCAAGCTCATGATTTTAAAAAGTCACTGAAATAATAATTTCACAACTCTGACAGCTGAGAAGCTGGGGAGATCATGGCCGGGCCCAGGGGCCCACGATCTCACTGCCGTCCCACCCTCTGGCCCTCCCCTGACACCCTCGATAAAGTGCTTGGATTGCACACCCCCTCCCCAGCCACATGAGAGTAAGTTCACATTAACTGCCTTTTAAAGTGTTTATGACTTGATATACTTTCAATTTAAAAAACTAAAAAACTGAGGAACAAATTATGAACATTCAAAGCAGAATTCTTTTTGGCAATAAGTTATATTGTATAGGAAATATGGGAACATTAATTCTCACAGCAACACACTGTGTTAACACAGTCTACAATGGGATGGGTAGATGGGAGTAGATGGGAGAAATAAAAAAGATTTCTTAGTTGATGAAATAGAATCAATTTGGTAACACTTCCCCAGCTTTGTTAATAAAAAATATTAGACCATTCTCAGTTGGGAACTGTGAATCTTTTACTGTACAGAGACAGAATGCTTGAGACATACATGGTTATTCTCTATGTATGAATCACTGGACTGTTATCTGCCATACAGAATAACCAATTGTAGGGTAAGGAGAAACAATCCCAATGCCTAAGACATTCACAGGAACATAGAAAGAAATCTCTGGGGTGATTACTTATGCCTCCTAGTCTTCCCTCTTCGCTCCTGATCTCACTAGTTTATTATCAGCACTTTCAGTAGGGTGTGCATTATTGACTGTTGCAACCTCCTCTCCCCAGAACACGCAGTGCAAAGAAATGATGTTTCTAAAATGCACACTTGACCGTGGAGATCTCCCATCTAAAATTCCTCCAGCTGCCTCCACATTAGCCTTGACAAGACCATCAAATACACACTCCTTAGCATGGCTAAGATCACTGCTGCTCAAATCTGGGGGTGGCGCGGGGGAGAAGTAGCACCTGGCGAGCTAGTTAAGGCAGGTCCCCGGGCTGTCCTCACAGAGATTCTCATTCAGTAGTCTGAGGCGGTGCCCGAGAATCTGCATCTCTAACAAGTTCTCAGTGATGCTAATGCTCCCTGTGCCAAACAGTGTTCTGAGGAGCACCAAGTTTAAAAGATCTTCCACCTCCTGGCTCTCAAAGGCCCAGACTCACCCGCCATCCCTTTCCCAGATTTAAAACAATCTGGCCACACAAAACGACTTGTAGTCTCCTGCGCACAAACTCATCATCACAGCTCCTTCCTGGAATGTCCTCAGGGGCAAGTGTAACTTCTGTAAGATTCCCCCTAAGGCCGCTGGACTTTCCGCCTCCCTTTCTAGTGCCCGTATGAGAGCACCTTGATCCACATGACCCTGAAGGCAAAACTCGGGTCCTATTTAGCTCAGGTACTAGTTGGTACAGTGCCTGGAGTGAATAAAATAAGACAATTCAAACCTGTCAATTCTGGGATGGGAAGCAAAAAAAACTAAACTAAACAAACCCTCTTGACGTAGGACTAGTAGGCTCTATGATTGGAACTGTCAAAGAGGCACTAAAATATAGTAAGCAAATATTTCCAAAACAATGACTACCTTATAAAAATCTCAAAAAAGGGACCAAAAATTGTTTAGAGGGTTCTAAGACTCCACAGAAGCTACAGTGATTTAAAAAAAAAAAAATAGAAATCAAGGTAGGACTTGTGAGAACTTCTTTAGAAAAAGCTATTTAATTCTGGAAGAGGAAAGCAGGGGATGCTTTCCTTTTTACCTCAAGCCTAGAAGCCTTGACAGTGTCCACTGGCCTCTGATCTGGGGTGAGGGGCGGGGCATCAGCTGGCAGCTAACACCATTCCTGGTCTAAAGGGAGTAGGCTGGCAGAGGCCGCCTGCAGTAGTGGGGAGAAGTCTGCAGCTGATGTCTCAGGTGTAAAATCCTGAAGACCTGATGTGCAACTCACAGAGGAATGTCATTTTTAAAGAATATTTTTCCTCTCTGGTGTGGCTCAGTGGATTGAGCAAGGGTCTGTGAACCAAAGGGTAGCTAGTTCGATTCCCAGTCAGGGCACAGGCCTGGGTTGCTGGCCAGGTCCCCAGTAGGGGGCATGTGAGAAGCAACCACACATTGATGTTTCCCTCTTTTTCTCTTTCCACTCTCTAAAAATAAACAAACATCTTAAAAAAAAAAAAAAGTATCTTTCCAGGAAACCAGAGGCTGAGAAGGGCAAGAGCAGCCCACACCACGTCAAGGAACATGGCTGGATGGTTCCAGCAGGGGACACAAGGCCCAGGAGACTCTGTTTTCAAAATCAACCAGGCTTGGAAAGCACTACACTAACTTACAGTCATTTTTGCCAAGTAACAATCTGTCCTCCTTTCTCCTTCCCCCTCTCTGAGTGCCCACTCCAGCAGGGTCCATTAACATACCTGCTTCCCAAAGGCAGACCTATCTCAGGTCTGAGCGGGGGAAAGAAGACAGGTTTTACTGATGAACGAAGCCTGAGTGTTGGTAAATACAGATATCCTTCTCTATAAAAATTATCAAACTCCGTATCAAAACTAAATGGATAGGTTCTAACAGCAAGAGATGCTGGTTTAAAAGACCTAACATGCAAATATCTAAATCAAGGATGTGTTTGGTTTTTTTTTTTGAGTTAAGGTAATTGATTGGACTTTTCATTATGTAAGAGTAACCAAAAACTCATGTTTTCATCCAATGCGGGGGATAAAAATTCTCCCAGTTAATAACTTCTAAAAGAACAGTGGGAGTCAAGTCATATGAATTACATTTCATTTTAATTAGCTAAGCCACTGGCTCACAAGAAGTTAAGTGTACGTCACAGGAACTCAGAAATCCAAGATTTTATCACTTACAGTTCCAAAGCACACTGGGCCCTCGAATGGCTCCTTTGGTCTCATTCATTCACTCCACAGCTACTGAGAATCTATTACGTACACACTATCCTTGGACCCAGAGATGTAAAACTACAGATATGGCTTGCAGTCCTTACAAACTCACAAGCCTGCATTTAACATTCACTCCTGACAAGGTCCTCAAGAAGAGATGACTAGACACTTAATATACTACCATAAAAAAGCTTTAGGTCTCTCTCATTTCACACACAACCTTCCAAGGTCATAGCGCACAGAAATGAATGACAAAAAGGAATTTTTCTTTCTGTCCACCTCAGATTCGGCCGGGTATGTGCAATGAATCATGACCTACCCGGATGAAAAGTGCAGTCCTCGCAGGTCCGCTGCTCTGTAGCAGGGCTCCAATTACTGCAAAGAAAGTCCGCTGTAACACAGCCGGGGGGACTGGAAATTCGGCACTCAGCGTTAACTGCTCCACAGCCAAGTTTCTAGCCACGTGACACACGACTTCCTCGCCAGTGAGAAAGGCAACAAGACTTTGAACGCCTTCAGTGGGCAAGTCCGGGAATGCGTCCTCAAGAAATTGTGTGAGGCAAGTTTGTGAAAAAGATGACCCTTGTCCAGATAGTTCTTGATTATCTTTAATATTCAGAAGAGCTGCTTCTTTCTCTATTCCAAGTTTTTGGCGTTTGGCTTCCTCACTTTTAATATAGCAACTATTAACAAAGGCGGTTTTGAGAAGATCTAAGGAAAAGGTTTCCTGCAACCGATGTCCAAATGCTTGTATTTCAGCATGGTAATCCCAGTTGGGCTTCTCTGAACTGAAAATGTAAACAGAAGATTTCAGATGGTAAAGAAAACAACAAGATGTTACTAGGATGCAAAGATTTTTCATTGAGGTTGCAATTTTGTTAATTATATAAAGGAGATTTTAAAAGATTTTCACTTTAATGCCATGCTTTGATTTTCTAAAAGTTAAAATTCAATTGCAATGATTACTTGTTCTTTGCTAGGTACATACTTGGATTATTTTTGCCTTTGAGCCATTTGCTACATTAGAGTGTTCTAACCATGCAGCTACACTTAATACCTAGGTATGAAATTCAAATTATACTTTCACAGGTTCAAGCCATAAACAATAAATACACTGTTATTTATCTTATATTTTACTGAAAACATTTAAATCAGCAATTAAGAAGTAGGTTAAACATTCATAACCATTCCCAAGAAACACTAAAAAGTATTTTTTAAAAGACAACCTAAAATAAAACTTTTAAATAAAACAGAGCAGCAAAGTATAAAGATCTGAGTTGTAAATAATAAAATGTATATGTAACCCATAAAGGTCTTCCAACTATAAAAGCCTAAAATGACTAACTTCACAATAATCAGAGAAATGTGAATTTAAAAGAAATAATGTTAGGAAAAGAACTTAATATTTGTGTTCAAACAGTACAGGAATATGGACACGCATACTTCCACTAGTAGGTGTATAAATTGGGGTATCTAACTTTTTAGGGGTGGGGTGGGAGAGGGCAATGTTAAAGTCGAAATTTCATACTAAAGTCTCCAAAGGAGTAATAACTTAAAAGCTATTAATTGTTACACAGGTTGTAATAGCAATAATATGGAACTCAAATACCCATTAAGTGGAGGCATAAAAGAGTAAAGTGCATCTATTTGTACTACCACGACACATCAGACATTATTAAAGAGACAAAAATTCAAACTTTCGTGTATAGTAGGACCTGATTTGGACCTATGAAGATCTGCATCTCTTTCTACCGGAACTCCTTTAATGAAACAAGATTAATTAGAGGAAAAACCTAACCCTGATATGATTCCCTTTTACTCTAGACATTGGACTTGTGGTAAAATACACTTAATTTTTTTCTTCCTCTAAACTGCAATGCCGTGGAGTGTTTTCTTCACTCTTATCGCACTTGATAGGCTTCTAAGTGGGAGTTCCAAAGCGTCGGCAGGAACCCCGCGCTTTACGGGTGGCACAAAGCCATTATCTTTGGCTCAGTCCACGCGTCCCAGCCACAGGGGTGTTTATATCGCAAGCCTCTTGGGCTCTAACCAGGCGCGCGTCAGCGACGATGGACCTTCCCCGCCGCCGGGCCGAAGCCAAGCGGGAGGTCCCGGGTCTACGCCAGCCACCCTGACCCCGTCCCGAGGTGGCTCCTACCGGCGCACGGGCGGCGGCGGGTTCCGGAGCAGGCGCCACCGCTCTAACTCCTTCTGGAAGCGGACGGCGGCGCGGAAGTCCTTCACCCCCCGAGCTGGCGAGACTCGGTCGGGGATGGCTGGTGCCAGGAGGCGGGCAGGCACCCGCAACAACAGCCTAACTAGCCCGGATGCCATAGCAGCGGAGAAAGCAATGGAGAGCGGAAGGAAAAACGTCGGAACAGTGTCGCGGTAACACAACCCCCTCGGAATAGGGACGCTAAGGTAGGACGGGGCGGGGCCAGATTCAGTGGGAGGGGCAGCTGCGGTTGAGTGCTACTGCGCGTGCGCGAGCGCTAGTCTTTGGCAAACCTAAGGATTACTCTTAAGTGAGCAGGTTGTGAAGGGCGTTTGGGTCCAGGAATTTAAGAAAGAGATTGCTTCATCTTGTCAGTTGTTCCCTTGTTCCTTCCTTTCTCCTTAAAGGGAAACAAAAAACTTGTTTTACGTTCAGTTTAAAGGAAACACTAGTTCTCAAAAAAAGAGGGTGTTTTTCATCGACATGTATTTAGTCTTAGTTTCAGATCATAAATGGAGCCACTGTTTGAGCAAATGTCATCTGGTCTGTCTCCAAAAAACCTTACTTTTAGGGCTAAGAGATATTGACTAAGCCCCAAATTAAAATTTTTAGTTTAAAAAAACCTTTTAAAAAAGCATTTTAAAAAAAGAGGATGGGAGAAAAGTACATCAACATGGAAGAGTGGATTTATGCTTCTTTTTTATCCTCCTCTCTTTAGCTGTATCATTATATTGCTGTCCTAACAAACTGTTAATATAATTTTTTGAAAACCTAATATTAATTTACAAAGGAAGACTTGTCTGAATTCCTAGTTTTGAGTTGCCTGCTGAACTTCTAGACCCTCAAAGATGAACCTCCTTCTGCAGTCTCTCTTTTTGTTGGGGGCATCAGCGTGACCTAAAGTCGCCCAGACTGGGCTCCTATGTTGGTCCCTGGTTGGAAGAAATCAACTGAAAAAAATAAAAGAGATGTGGAATATTCGAATACTGACAGGTTTTAAAAAATTATATCATAGAATTATTGAAGGGTTTACAATGGTGGTATTTTAGTTTTGTTTTTAAAAAGGTCTTTACTTTTTCGAGATTTACGCTGAAATATTCATTTGTGAAAAATAAGGGATCTCAGATTCTCACAATAATCAAGGTGAGAATAGGTGGTGGTTATTATGAAAGAAACATGGCCCTGAGTTGCTGTCAAAAATGAAATGAAATGAAATGTTAAAAAGTGAAATAAAATCCAGATTAAGCCAGTCTCCTGCTCAAACCCTCCAATGCTTTTCCATCTCACTTGAAGTAAAAGCCAAAGTCCTCACCATTCCTCAGGCCCGACGTGGTCTGCCTGGTGACCCTCTGTCCTCCCTCCTCTCTGCACACCTCACTCACTCCGCTCCAGCACCCTAGCTGTCTTGCTAAGCCTAGAAACGCCTGGCCTGCCCTCACCGCAGGGCCTTTGCACTTGCTGTTTCCTTTTCCAGGACAGCCCTTCCCTCATATTTCCACACAGCTTATTCCCTCCTCTCCTTCTTGGCTCAAGTGTCACCTTCTCCATGAAGCCTTCCCTGGCCACCTGTCTCAGGTTGCATTCTCTGGAAGCAGATGCTGAGACAGAAGTTGGCGCACAGGGTGTTTGTTAAAGATCCATAGCTGTGAGGGGAGGTGTAACAGGAGTAGGCCGATTAAGTCAGCTGCAATGCAGTCCTGGCAAAGCCTCATCTGACCCAGGAGAGAGTTCTGGAGCCAGTATTGCCCGTCAGTGTCCTGGAGCAGGATGCAATGGTTCTGCCTTTATATTCATGTCTCGTTTAGTTAGTGGACTTGGGCTGCCCATGGAGGGCATAGCTGAGCATGGTGGCTCTCTGCAGCTAAGGCAGGCTCTGAAAGAAATGAATGCTAGAGAATCCTGCTGACCACCCTCCTTCATGAAGTCAGATCAGCGGAGAGTGTCTCCAGATCAACCACACCACCCTATGTAAAATTGCAACACCTCCTAGAGTCCCTATCAACCTTCCCAGCTTTATTTTCTCCACAGCATTGAACATGTTAATATACTCTGTAATTTACTTATTTTAGTTATTATCTGGTTCTTTCTCTGTAATATAAGTTCTAATGATAGAATGATTTTGTCTTGCTTAAGCACAGCTGCATTTAGAATGGTGCCAGGCTCACAGCAGGCACTCAACAAATAAATATCTGTTGTTGGAGAAAAGTTGTTCAATAGCTTGTTTCGTCATATCCTGTGCAAGCCTTACAAGAACCACGCTGTATACATCTTGTCAGTGCATGGCACCTAGTAGATGTACAATACACATTTGTTGAATGGATGAATAAATATGTCCATGAATGCATATTAACTTCATTTTAAGAAAGGACTAGTACGGTACTCTCCAACAGAAATACTATGTGAGCCACATATGTAATTTAAAAATTTTTTAGCCATATTAAAAAAATAAGAAACAAGATTAATTTTAATATCTAATTTAATTCACTATATCTAAAATGTATCATTTCAACATGTAATCAATATAAAAATTATTAACGAAATACCTTACATCCTTTTCGTTCTGTACTAAGTCTTTAAAATTTGGTGTGTATTTTGTACCCACACTACATCTCAGTTTAGACTAGGTGCATTTCAAGTGCTGGGTATCCAAGTGGGCAGTACAGTTCTAGTGCAATCCTGCAATTCAGGAGTGAAGGTAATATGGTGTGTGGGGAGAAGGGGTGGAAAGGGGAGGCCTCTGGAGCCAGTGACCTCCTGGGTCCCAACATGACTCATAAACTTACTAGCAGCTAATGTTCTCCAGCAAAAAGCCACCAGGAACACATCTGTAGTTGACAAGCAGGGTTAATTGCCTGTTGGAGGGGAGTCAGTGATAGAAAGGACTTTTACAGGGCTTACATTTGTGTCAGGTGATGTCGGGGAGAGTTTAAGGAAGAAGGGCTTCCCTCAGGACTGGATACTGTCAGGAAGTGGGGCTAAATCTACAACTGGATGTCTTACTAACTCTTGTCTACATGTAGGAAGACAAGACAGAGGATGATGCTGTAATTGGGAAAGAAACAGGAGTCACTCATATTAGCCAGGATAGGGGGATGTTTGGTCATTTTTGTGGTTTGGGCAATGTTTACGTTCTCGCTGTGTTTAAGTATGCTTATGAAGCCTCCATGTCTAATGTTTGTTCCACAGGACTAAGCTGTGAGCACCTAGCCATTTCCTAGCAACCCCGAAGCCTGGTTGATAGTACCAGGCCAGCTCCTGGAGGGCAAGGCTGTCTTTCTCATAGCTCTGTGACCTTAAGCAAGTGATTTAACTTTTCCCCTGTTCAGTTTTCTTATCTCTAAGATGAGAATGCAAGAGCAATCATCTCTCCATTTCTTCAGGTTGCTATTGGTATTAAAGGCGATTATCCTTGTAAAGAAATTGGGATAGTATCTAGTCTGTAGTCACCACTCAGTTGAGTGTCACCTGCTGTCTTTCAAAGATTCTCAACTGCATTATATTTTTTTCACGCAAACATCCCTGAAATGAAAGTATCTTCCAAATAATGGCTTTTTAGAGCGAATACAATGTAATATTATTATTTTCTGACGTTCTGCTTTGGCGGACAATTCTTCTTCCCTGTCAATTGCTCAATCTATACTTGGGTAAAGGACTTTACTCTTTGTGGACAAAAAAGAGGTCACATACTAAACCTGACAAGCTCAGGGGAGGCCTGCACGGTGGCCTTACCAACTCAGAGATCAAAAGTAACCATACAAGATGGTCTGAACATAGGAATTCTTAACTAAAAGTGAGTCATGGCGGGTGGTCACGTCCTAGGCCTATAGCTTCCTTGATAAAGGTCAATCTTTACCTAACATGAGACTGTCTGTTGCCTTTATGTATCTAAGATAACATATCTTTGAAATGCCAGAGTAATCTCCTCTTCCAGACCCCTCAGAGCATGAGACATTAGAACCCCTCATTGTTATATTGACCCCCCAATACCATCTCTTTGTGTTGTAAATGTTAATTAGCTAGGGTGTACCCACCAATGTAAACGATGTCTGTTTCTCCCTTTTACTTTTTATCTAATCCCAGAGAGTTCCCCACTTTGCTTTCTCCTGCCCCCTTAATCTACCAATGGATTTCTTGTAACCCTCTTTATGCCTCTTACTTTTATTCTAATGTAAAAAATAAGGATGGAAAACTGACATTCTCCGAAGCATTTCCTCAATCTGCTCAGATTTTGCTTTCAGGAAACTGTCGTCGGTTTGGCGAAATAAACTCTTGTAAGACTTCTCCTTAGGCTGGTCTTTTTTTTTCTTACATATTTTCAACCTTTGTAACTTTCCCTACTTCTGGGCTCTCCGTCCTCTGTGGCTCTGTCCCCGCCATGTGAATTCAGCTGCTCTTCTTCTCCCGGCAATACGGCGCTTCCAGCAGCTGCGCTCGGGGGTTTACGGCAGCGCGGCGCCCACGAGGCCCGGGAGCCCTTGCAAACCGGCGCTCTCGCCTGCCCCGCCCGCCCCGCGGTCAGCTGATGGGCCGCCCGCCCCGGGAGACCGCCGCCGCCGCCGCCGCCTCGCGAACATGGCGGCTGAGATCCACTCCAGGCCGCAGAGTAGCCGCCCGGTGCTGCTGAGCAAGATCGAGGGGCACCAGGACGCCGTCACCGCCGCGCTCCTCATCCCCAAGGAGGACGGCGTGATCACCGCCAGCGAGGACAGGTCTGGCCAACGGGTCCAGCGCGGGGCCGAGGAGGGACGGGGGGGTGGCCCGTCCTCCCGCAGGCGACGGGGTGTAGGGGCGGTGGGGCGCGCGGCCCCGTCCCTGCCCGCTTGGGGGCGTCCCGGGTTCCTAGGACGCTCTGCCCGCTGCCCCCTCTGTCCGCTGAAACTCCCGGTTCCCACCCGCAAGCCCTCCAGTTTCGATCTCCGTGCGGGACCTCGGACCCTGCCACGCCCCTCCGCGTTGGGACCCCTGTCCCCAGTCGCCTCTTCAGCCGGGGGAGCTCCGTTCCCGGGTCCCACTGAACCCTTCCAGCTGGGGATCCCAGTCCCAATGCGCCCCTCCAGCCGGAGACTCGCGTTCCCGCCGCGCTTCTCCAGTCTGGGACTCCCACCGCCTTTCTAGCCCGTCTCCCGGCCCTTCCATCTCGGGACCCCAGTCCCCGCCTCTCCTTTGTGGGATTTCGCCCCGAGCTGTTCAGTTCCAAGCCGCCTCCTCCGGGAGCCAGGAGGACGAGCGGCCGGTTACCCCGGGTCCTGGTTTCCGGGATTCCCTTATAGCATCAAACCTCCAGGGCTTTCACTCTCTTCCTCCTGCTTCACTCTGGGCTTTACACATTTCTTTTGCGCAACACCAAAGTCCCAAGATCGTTTGTTTTTGCACAGCTGCTATAACCGCCTGAACTTATTTACTAAATCGATTTTGTTTTCTTAAAAGTGACTCATTTTTTAAAAAGTCTTAGATGCTTTTATTTTCAAGGACATTTTACATTCCCACCATTAATGGAAAACCGGTATCACTTGCCATAAAGAATTAGACTAATAGCTAAAGGATGTTAATCTGTGTGCATCTAAAGGCAACTCTTTTTTGTATTGGGACGACTTGCATTGACTGCTCCTAGTACTTTGGGAAACACTGATACGACCCGATTTTCTCATTTTACCCAAGAGGAAACTGAGGACGTTGAAGAGTAGAGATACTGGCGAAGGCAGAAATACAACCCAGCACTCCCCCACTCCAGCTCTGTGGACCCCCAGGGCTGTGTGATTCATTGGAGAGATATTTGCTTAAAACTTGAGCGTTTTTAAAACCCTCAACGTTTCAAGGGTTAGTGCTTTCCTGTGGGAATTTGAAGGAAATGACTGGTGTCTATTGCGTGAAACTGTTTCCTTGGTACAATGAGTGGTCTTAAATGGTAATACTCCATTTAAGTTGAAAGGCTTTCTGAAAGACAGAATGTACTACTGCTGTACTCTTAAAGCGAGAGGCACTGCATCCAACTTTTTGTAATCATGCATGTGGAAGTAACTAACTTTGAGAGCCTGTCTTGAGTGGAAAGAGAAAGCCTGAAGCCCCCAGTGCCTGTCTGACTTCTGTAGTTTGCTATTGAGTGAGTTTATTGTGAGCAGGCAGTGGCCTCTCCCTGCCAGTTTACCAGCTGCTGACCTCAAACAAGGTAGGGAGCCATTGGTAGAACCTGGGTGTGGCCAAGAGAAGGGTACTTGAGTCCTAAGGAGAAAGGGGGAATGTTAAAAAAAAAAAAAGAAGAGGCAAAGGACAGAATAATATTTGCATGATCGGAACATAGATAAGGACACTTTATACCAGTTAGCTGTTTTTATTCAGTAAAATATTTTATTTATGACTCATGCATGTTGGGTAAATTGCTGAGTACTTGAGATTATTGGCCAGGCGCGCTGCTGATAAATGTGTGATGGGGAGTGACTATGTAGCTGCTCTTGGACTGAAGTATGTTGGGCGAGCCGTACATCAGCTCATGTTTTCCCTCGGGCACAGCAGGGCACTGGCACGTGCCTGGACCAGGTGGGGGCTAGCACCTCGGGATTCTACTTTGTGTTTCAGGCCTATGGGACTTCCTTGAAGGTAGGACAACCTTTTTAGCCGGTGCCGCATTTTATGAGATTCAATGAAAAAACATGCTATATGTATGTGGGTTATTTTTTTTGATGGTTTGTTTTTACATTATCACAAATATGTGTCATACTCTTCAATCATTCATTCGTTCATTTATTCACTCAATGGTGTATTTAGAAATACTGTGCCTATTGAGTACGTGGCCCAAGTGATACAACAGGGAACAAAAGCCACAGTACCTGCCCTCATATACTGTAACCTCTGATTCACTGGTTTTCATGGCCCCTGACCTGATGGAACTAGCATGTTGACAAAACAGAATACTGACCATCCTTATTTATCAAACAAGCACTTATTGGACGCTTACTATGCATAGACTTGTGGGATAGGAAGACAGCAGACTCCAAAATCGCTGTTTCCAAAAGGCTAGACAGTGTGGCAAAGAGACGGCCCTGAGCTGTCAGCTTTCCGAGTGCTGGGAAGACAGGAAGGAGTGTCATTAGGTGCCAGGGTTTAAAAAAACATTGGCTTGCACCTTTCCTCTACCACTGCTGCTTCAATGCTCAGAAAAGTAACTTTTAACCTTTAAAATAAGGTCCAGCTGAAGTTAATTCCTTTATAAAAACAAAAAGCAGTGAGAACTGGCTGAGAGCATTTTGAGAGGAAATGGGAAGAATGTGAGGGGTATCCTGCATTTAGTGTCCATTTTTCTAAACTCTAGGCCATCCTAGATTATCAGCAGGAGTGATTTTTGCCCCCTAGGGGACATTGGGCAACATCCTGAGACATTCTGGTTGTCATTACTGGAGGAGGGTGCTACTAGCACCTACAGGGTAGAGGACAGGGATGCCGCCAGGATGGTCGGTCCCTCATCAAAAGAATGACTGTCCAGGCCCAAGTGTCTGTAGTGCCGAGGTTGGGAAACCCTGGCTTGGGCTTAGTGTGCTTGTTTATCTGGGCTCTCTGGACAGTAGTTTCGAACTTGAGCAAGCATCCGATTCACGTGGAGGTCTCGGTAACACCGATGGCTGGGCCTCACCCCAGAGATTCTGATTCAGTAAGTCTGGGGTGGAGCAGAGGAGTCTGCGTGTCTGCCAAGTTCGCAGTGATGCTGGTTGCTGATGCTCCCTGGTCTCACACTGTGAGAACCTTTCCTCTACGATAGATAAGACGAGCTAGATAAGACGAGCGATTGGCCACCTTGCTCCTCTGCAGAGACTGGCTGGGAGACAAAACTGTGTATGCTTTGTCTTATTTTTTTTTTTGTCGGGGATGTATTTCCCTGGAGATTCACGTGTACCCAGCTATTTCCCAAGTAAAACCAAACTATACATGACGGAGCTAAGTGCACATAAGCCCCCAAAAGGTACTAAGCCAGCGTGGAATATTGAGCTTAATTCCATCTTACCTAGAACCACTGGTCACGGTTTGGGCAGTGAGCCCAGAGGTCTAATCAGAAACATTCAGGGGGTCAACAGAGAATGGCTGTATTCTCTTGTGTGCATCCATTTCTATCTCGTTGGGGTAATAAGTGCCCGAAGCTCTTCTGTTGGAACTTCATTCTCCTTCTAAACCCAAATTAGTATTTTTAACTACTAGTAATACTAAGTAATTAGTATTAGTATTAGTCTTAAGTTGCCTGCACTTTGGAAGTAGAATATTTGGGTATGCATACTTTTCAAGGTATAAAAATGATACATTTGTAAAGTTTTAAAAAACTTGAGTCACTAGAGTATGACTCTCTTTCTAGTCAGGAAACTGTAAAAATAAAATAATCTCAGCACTGAGTTCATGACTTTGAACTGCAGCCATCATTTTCCTGATGGGGAAACAGAAACTGAGACTCCGCTTTCAGAACAGAACTGCAATACGGCGCTCAGCAGGGGAACCAGTGCCCTAGACACATTTGCTTTTTGAACTTCTTTCCTGTGGAATGCACCAGAAATTTAGACGTCAGTTGGTGGAAGGACAGGATTTTGTAAAGGTAAAGGCTTTAGTAGAAAGCCTCATGAATAATTTAAGGCCATAGACCTGCTCTCTCTATTTTTGAAAGAAACAGTTGGGAGATGAGCATGCTTATATCAACTCTTCGGGGCCAAGACTGATTTGCAGGGATCTTGCAGAAGAAACTCAGTTTTGTCTGGCCTAAGTCCAGCATAGATCTTTTGTGTGTTAAAATATTTTAGGATGTTGCACTTAGGCTGGTAAACAATAAACATTACAGAAAACCAACTCTTCAAGCTATTGAGGTAGCCTCTTTTTTGTTATACCAGTGATTTACCTGAATATATGTCTTTCCTCTTAGACATTTCTGAACATATTAAGATGGTCTGAGGGGAAAGTTGTATATTTACTAACTGTTCACATGGAAACAATCTTAAATAAACAACTTGATTGTTCAGTGTTGTGCTCAGAAGGAAACCTAACATAGCTGGGAGTTGATAGTTTGTACAGAAAGCCAGGCTATCTGCTGTATTTTTGTTGTCATGCCGTGCCTGAAAGTAGACCCTTTAATTTGTGTTATAAAATAAAGTGAAAAAGTGAGAAGGCAGGCAGCCTGGGTGGGAATGCCTTTATGCCTCTGTTGCGAGAATGGCCCCTCGTTGTTACATTTGTTTCCTTTTTTTTACAGTGTGTTTAGAAACAGATTCTGGATCCAGAACGCCTGTGTTTGAGTCCCATGTGACATAGGGCAGGCTACTTACAAGAGTTTTCTCATCTGCAAAATAGAGATAATAATAGTACCTACCTCATGGGGTTTTCATGTATGTAAAACTCATAGAACAGTGCGCTGCACAGAGAAAACACTGGTATTTTGACTATTATTTTCATTTCCATCTGTTTTTCATTTAATTACTGGAGTCTCATCAAAAGCGAAAGATGTCTCTGCTTACTCTGTGTGTGTGTGTGTGTGTGTGTGTGTGTGTGTGTGTGTGTGTGTAAATAAAATAAAAATTTTCCTTTTGAATAGGACAGTACATTCTGGGGGTCACTTACAGACCTGAGTTCTTGTTACTACTGTGAGCCCCTGCCTTTTCATCATTTCCACACTTGTTCACTTACAAGTCATGTCAGTCGTAAGTTTTCCTTTATAAAAATCTTTGCCCCAATGTACTAGGGGACC